GCTGACATGCCTAAGCAAAAAAGCTGACATGCCCGTAACTTCTTTTAAGCGGACTAAAAAGAAATGCACTTTTTACGTGATTGTTATAGATATATATATATTCATGAGCAAGTTCTGAAAAGAATCAAATAAAGCATATCGCAAAAATGAATTAGCAGGGAAAATAGGCAAGAGGGTGAATACAATTATACAAGGTCCTTCCCTGTCCCACTCTCAAATCCTCCACATTGACAGAGGTGTTTACACATTATTGCCACCACTGTATTACATTTACGGCTTTCAAGAAGAGAATAGAAAGAAAAACAAAGGAAGAGAAAAAATGATTTCCTTGAAAGAAAATGGTACTTTAAGGAAAATGTTTGATTAGCCAAAGTACCACTACCACCAGGGCTTACATCCTCCTATCACCTACTAGCTGCATGAGTTATATACCTACTACTTCTATCGATGGAAAGACCAAAGCACATCTCCCTATAGCTTTGACTGCCAGAGGTTGCACTTTGGAAATCATTTTCCAGGTTTGATGTAAAAGCAGGAGACATACAGCTATTACAAGCAGGGGAGGAGCTAGGGGGGGGGGGGGGGGGAATCGAATCCCTTGGCCTGAAAATTGTCAACTTTTATGCTTTTACGTATATATCGTAGATGTATAACCCCCTTGTGAAAATCCTACTTCCACCACTAATTACAAAAGGTACACAAATAGAGTCTTGATTGACAATAATGTATAACAATTTATCAACAAAATGACATCTTTTTCCTCAACATTCTCAGCAAAATCAAGCTAAACAAACAGGAGAAAGAAAATAAAACAAAAAAAATTTCCTCACATTACCAAACACACTCTCAAAACGAAAATTTAACAACACAAAGCAAAAGGGGTTGATGAACAAACCGTAGGAAAAGTATTGCTGGTGTAAGAAATCAAAAGACAAGTCTTTCCAACAGCACCATCACCCACTGTAACACACTTGATAAACCTGGAAGCACTCATAACTTTTCTTGTTTGGGTTAAAAATTAACGATGACCCACTTCTTATCAGATCTTCTTGAGAAGACCTGATCAATGAAACAAACAAAAACGTAACAATGTAATGCTTCTTGAATTTTTCAGTCCCTTTCAATGACCCATCTGCAAAAATGGCAAAAACCCACAAAAAGTTTGATTATCTGGAGGAAAACCCAAACCCAAAATTGAAAAAAAAAATGGTTGAAATCAAAAAGGGGGAGAATGGAATTTTGGGGAAAAGGGAAAATGGGTGTGTGTGTAAATTTAGATCTAGAGAGAGAGAAAAAATTAGAGGTAAAGAGAGAGAAAAGGAAAACCCATTAAGCTGTTTGTAAAACTATTGTGTGTACCTTTTTTCTTGCCGGAAAATACTGCGGTTGAATCGTTCGCTGCCTGGAAAAAACACTCTGTTTTTCTCTTTCTGTGTGTGTGTCTGTCAGCCAACGAAGAAGAAGAACTGAGACTCTTTTTGTATTTTGCTTATGATTGGCTTTTTTTTTTCTCTTCTCACGCTTTTCTTCCAATACATAATCGTCTTTGTAGGGGTAGAAATGTCATTTTCTTATGAGATAATGGCGGAAAACACATTTGAACTATCACTCTTTTGCGAGTTTTGCGTGTCTCAGCTAAACGTTGTTTTTTTTTTTTAGTAGATAGTAATTGTTCAAGTGGAAAAAAGGAATAATAGATAGTTGGTTTAGACAATTTTCTGGTGTTTTAATAAATAGATGACGATAATTTAGGTTTTAAAAAAAATAAAATAACGAATAGCTAGCGTAGATAATTTCGAGGTTTGTTTTGATACATAGATGGTAATTGTTCAACTAAAAAAACAAAATAACGAATAGTTGGTTGAGTAGACAACTTTGAAGTGTATTTTAATACAGGGATGCTAATAATTCAGGTAGAAAAATAGAAGAACGAATAGTTGGTCTAAATAACTATATAGATGGTAATAATTTAAGTAGAAAAAATCAACGAATAGTTGGCCTATACAGCTTGGGGTGTGTTAAGGGAACAACAAATAGTTGGTCTAGACAACTTTAATGTATGTTGTAATACATAGATGGTGATAGTTCAAATAATTCGTTTAGACAGTTTCGAGTTGTGTTATAATACATAGATGATGATAGTTTAACTAATTTTTTCATATTTGATTAATCAAATAGAAAATGACTTCTCAAATGAGGAAAAACAAGTTTCATAAATCGTATTTAATTTCAAGCTCATTATCTCATCTCCACTCTCGTATTTTGACCACCCTAACTTTCCACGCCACACTCCGCTCTGTTTTCATTGAATTTTCTAGATTCATATTATATAACTCTTGAAAAGAAACCGTTTTCGCATAATATATATTCATTTTGATTTGATTTATGCGTCAAAATTTGAATTAACATGTAGTTTAAGATTTTTATTTTTCAAAACAATTATAACTATAAATATGTGATACTAATATCTATATGAAAAATTCTCATTCACCGTAAAATTAAAAGTCTAATTCTTTTTTTGAATGAATTAAAAAAAAATTACCACATAAATTAAAATAAATTCAAACTAGTTGAACTTGTGATATTTCAGGATTGCATGCAATAAATTGTATCTTCACATGAAAGTGTCAACTGAATTAAAAAGAATCTTGCCAACCATTGCTTTTAATAGACAATAGGTATTTATAAATACCAACAAAGCTCGTGATGAGATGAATATAATTTTTCTTATATTTTAATTAGAGTTTTCGAATTTAAATCTTCTAATATGAAAATAATCTTCCCCTTTAAATGAATCTTATGCGATGTGAATCTGAATTAATCAGAGAACCATTTCTTCTTAATAACAATAAATATGACAAATTGGCTGCTAAGAAAGGAAAAAAAACATATCTTAGTGGCAAATTGACATTTGGCTCCTAAAAGTAGACAACATTCTGTGCATATGGGGGACCTCTAAAATTTAGCTCGGAAATTTTAGTAGCTCACTTAGTTGACTATATTTTTTCTATTTTTTTTTTACTTGTTAAATTTGAATTTGACGCACAAATTAAGAAAATATTAATTATTATAGTGAATTTACTATGTTACCCCTATTAATTGATAGAATCACAAGTATTTTTACGCACTACATTTTTTAAAGACACTATCTTAATGTTACTCCTTCTGTCCAACAATAAGTATCCACTATTGACTTGACATACTCTTTAAGAAACAATAAATAATAGGGGTAATATCACTATATTATCCTTTGACTTTATTAAATTTAATGTTTTAAAAAATGTGTTAAATGATAAATACTACTACTTTTTAATAGCAAGGGTAAAATAGATACAAAAAATAAATTATCTCTTGATTTTCTAAAATGGACAAGTATTGGACAACTATTTTTAGTATAGTGGACAACTATTGTTGTACGGAGGAAGTAACAAATTGAGGGTATAATAGGTAAAAACAATTGTCCTTTCTTGATTTATCAAAAAATGACAAGTAAAAAAAAGAAAATTGGACAAGTAAAAAGGGACAAAGGAAGTATAAACTTTCATTTAATTGATGAGGATTCGATTCTCTACATTGTGATCCTCTACCCATTTCCATATCTCTAAGTAAATATCATGTTCTAATGAAACAAAAAATATTTAAAAATTCATTGCTTTTATACGTGTTGCAATAACCACAACTAAAAAATATATATTTTGCAATAACGAAATACATACATAGAATATTTATATTAAACCATGATATATTATACATATATTTTTCTCATTTAGCTATGATTAATTATCTATATTCTTACTTCATAAAATCATTACATCACTAATGTCGAATTATATTATTCTTTGTACACGTTGATGAAAATTTGTATCCACCAAACTGTGAGTTCCTAACTTCATTTAATAAAAAATCCTAGTTGTCGAAATTTTTCTTTTTCTTTTTCATCTGATGTTTGATATTTAATTTGAAATATTTAATTAATTTGAATATGTACCTCTTAAAATTTATTAAAAGGGAAGTGCCGTCCCCCCCCCCCCCCCCCCCCCTCCAATATATAACTACTCTAAATTGACAATTCGATTAGGGATAGAGTTAGCGTGTCAATAATAGATTAAAAAAAAATTAATAACTATTTATATTTTAAAAAATATAAATAATTTATCAAGAATTTAATAATTTTACTTATTTTTAAGAATAAAAAAATTATGAACTCTCAAAATTCTAATTCCGCTTCTGAATGACTTATGAATCGTACTCTAAATAAGCTATCATTGAATTGACAAATGAAACCAACTTAGTAACAAGATATATAGCTATCAATAAATGTGGAGTGTTGTTCTTTGTTGGAATTGTCTCTCTCTCTATATATATGTCCACCTTGCTCTTTTTATGATTTATATGGATGTAGGGTTATTTGTTGGGTTGTCAATAACTTTAGCCCATGCTCTCAATTGGTGAAAATACACTATATATTATAGGGAAAATGGTATGAAATAGCAAACTATTAATTCAAATTAAATATTATAGCTATAGTTTATTTTATTTGTAATTCGCAACAAACATTCCCTTTTTTTGCCATCTGATTCGGTATACAATTAGTCATATTATACATTTCAGTATAAAATGCATTTGTGTTTGTATAAAGCGAGAGAAATATATATACAAATACAAATACATATATTTTCGTCCTATACACTTATAATTATACAATTACATATCTTATTATACAAATTACAATGTATAAATGAATTTATACAAAACTGAACAGTTTGTATAAAATTGGATGTATCTAGCGAATTATACAAATCAAAAGCTCCATAACAAACATAAAATTTGCTATGAAGCGCAATTATGCAAACTATAGCTATAACATACAAATATGATTTTTATATTTGCTATATGTGACTATATTATATTCTAGCTTAGTAAAAAAAAAAAAGTAGAGTAAGTTTTATATATTGATAATATAAATAGTTTGTGTACTATTAATCAATTCCAACATCCTCCATGACATGAATCGTACAATTTACACCTCCATTAGATCAAATGATTGTTGAAACTCGTATTTTAAAAGAAACTGAACTAATAAAAACAACGATAGTGTTGCAGTTTCCGCGTCTAGATACCTTTAAAGTTGTCTGTTTCAAGTCTCGAAGTGCCTGAGCTCGAAATCTCTCCCATTGCAACGGGAGAGGATGCTGCACGTCGCTCCTGCTTCAATGAAGTTGGTAATCCTGAGACCTCCTGAAGAAAGTTGAATCAAAGCAAAACAATACTTAGGACCAATTACAACTACTTTATTGCTAGTGCACGAGTGATCCTTTCAGACTGTTTACAATGTTTCTTGAAAAGTAAAGTGTAAATATGACCAGAAAAAAACTATTTGAGACGACAAATCGCCAGCTGAAATTCAAAAGCAAGCAACTATATCATATGTTTTCTCAAAATATGAGCAGATCCACAACTAAAAGAAGGGCAGCCTGATGTACAAAAGCATCCCGCGTTAGCAAGGTCATGAGAAGGGCAGCACCCCAAGGGGTGTGATGTAGATTGTAGACAACCTACCCTAATGCAAGCATTAATGATTGCTTACACGGCTCAAACTCGTGACCTATAGGTCACACGGGGAATAACTTTACCGTTGCTCCAAGATCCACAACTCTGGTGTTAAATCAAGTTCAGTTGCTGTGGTATTAGAAGCATTGGGTATCAAAGAAACTAAATCAAATTCATTTTGACAAGAAATAAACTAGGTGTTGCACTCAAAACTTTCCTCTTCAATATGCAGTGAATTCATTGTTCGAATCTCAAGCTGGAGCTGCGTATGTAGTAGTAACAAACAGTTTTATCATATTCGGAGTATACAAAAAAAAAATTCTTAAGAAAAATATCCTATATATAAGCAGTATACCAAAAAGTAGAAAATCTACAACAGTATACCTTTATTTTTCAAATGATTCATAACGTCAAGTGCACCAATTCCAAATTGCAGTCCAATCAAATGATTGACGAATGCCAATATATCTCGTGGTCACAAAAAGTTTCCATATAAGAGCTTTTTGGACCACATGATGAATAAATATATTGAAAAGATCAATCTAACATGAATTGGTTGAGCTACATTCTCAAATTTGGACAAATAAAACTGTTGCATAGAGTTACATATATCATTTTGGAAGATGGTAGGGGATATCTGGAGACAATCCACCGGAGAAAATAAAGATAAAAGAGATGAGTAAGAACGGAATGCACGAAAAAAACAAAAGGGTTCTTTCCAACTATTTGTTTGGACTTGTGTAGTAGTCGAAGCAGTTGAAATATGGCAACTATAAGGGCATATTTTGTTGGGATCGCTGATTTCCTCAAATTTGGACGGTTAATACACTGTAATTAAGAAATTGTTCCCATGATATCCATAGAGCTAATGAAATTTCAAAAAACGCTTACTTTCATCAAATGTAGTCTCAGATCACAAGGCCGAACTTGATTACCAATGCAGGCCATAACAAAGTTTGAGTATTGAAACAGGACATCTGCAGCAGCTTGCTTCTTTTCTTTGACCTGAATTATACTCAATAGATTAAAGCTAATAGCAACAAACTAGAAACAAAAACTGCTAAGGAACTATATGCCTAGTTGGAAACCAAAGTAATTAAAAAAATCTATCAATATGAAAATTAAGGAAAAATATAAGTAGTAGTGAGGTGTCGGTATGGAGTTGCAACAGCTGCGAATACAGACTAAGCTAGGGGATGGACTTTTAATTTCATTCCATGGGTTCTGGGACTCTAGTATAAATCCGGTATTTCGGCATGAAAGTGACACATTTAGGTTATTCTTATTGAAGGAAGTTAGAAGCTCGGAATAATTTATAGTGTTGGTTTCATGTTTCGAGTCATGCTTACTTTCCTTAGTCAGACGAGTAAAATTCACTGATATATGCACTACTTGCTGTCACCTATCAAGCTTGGTGAAAATCCAAACAAAGCCGCCATATACTAGGGAATGTTTATCAATACATGAAACCAATCTTAAGAGGAGAGGAAGCAATGCTATATCTACACAAGACCTATATTTTGTTCTATCCTTAGAGAGTCGAAGGACTCTACCATCTGCAGATATATTATCAATCAAGTAGCATTGCAAATCGTATCGCAGCAAATAAGTTCATTCTTTTTCCTTTTCCTACGTATCTAAAAGCTTCCATAGTCATGGCAAGGAAGCATTGATCTTACATGTACGACTTATCTCTTCCATTCTTTTTTGGTGAGAAATGGCTGTCCTTTCCTATACTCTTTGGGCTTCTCCTAAACAAATTGAATTCTCATATTTCTTTCTTCAACTCAAAAGATCTTTTGAGTGTTGAGTTAGTCCTATTTATCTATCAGAGTTAAAGGAAATTGTCTTAGGGACAAAAAACAACAACATACCTACTGTAATCCCACAAGTGGGGTCTTGGAGGGGAGGGTAGTGTACGCAACCTTACCCTAACCTTGGGAGGTAGAGAGGTTGCTTCCGATAGATCCTAGGCTCAAGAAAAAGGTCTTAGGGACGAAAAGGTACATAATAAATCCGATTGATCCTCAATAAAGAACATTTTGTAATGTATGACTCGATATCAATAAGAGAATTGATGATTATTGTTCTCTTAAACAACATCATACCCGGCTTGATCCCACAAATGGAGTTTACTAAGGGTAGAGTGCGTGTACGCACATCTTACCTCTACCTCATGGAAGGGTAGAGAGATTATTTTCGATAAACCCTCAGCTCAAGTGCATCAAATCAATGTATTTACGGAAAAAGGGGATACGACAGTGAACAAAACATGTCAATTAATAAGAAAAGCAGTACACAACCTTCAGAGAAAAGAAACAGTAACAACATCAAAATAATGCAGTAACTGAAAGAATATACATATATAAGACTAATATTACGACATACACGATGCTCTCAGGCTCCACCAAGCCTAAACCCATCGAAATGCGAGTCAAAGCTCAACTACCTACTAACCTTCTACCCTAATCAAGGACTTTCATATCCTCCTATCTAAGATCATACACGCAATAATCTGAAGTTGCGATAACATATCATATGTCTAATCACCTTTATCGAATACTTCTTTCATCTATTTCATTGGATATGTATTGAAGTTCAACAAAAGCTTCAAATTATCTTCTACGACTGACACGATGCTTACAAGCTCCCATCAAGCCTAACGCGAGTCAAAGCTCAACTACTACTAACCTCCTATCCTAATCCGCAACCTTCATATCCTCCTATCTAATATCATGTCCTCGATAAACTAAAGTTACGCCATATCATGTATAATCACCTATCCCCATACTTCATTGACCTACCTCAACCTCTCCCCATTCCATATATATTGAAGTTCAATAAAGGTTCAATTACAAGACCTATATGAGATTAACCCTTTTTTTCCTCAAACAGTTTCAATTAAAAATTAGAGCAAAAAATTGGCAGCAGTAGTCACAAGATTAAACAAAACATACTAATAACAATGAAATGGAGAATTTTGTTACCTCGTAATCATCTTTCATGGCTGAAATCTGAGTTTCGTCATCCATCTTCTTCCCCAAATCATTAACCTCAATGCTTAAATATTGAATGAAATTGTGCTGTTTTTTTAGTTATTTGAGAGTAAATAAAATTAGCGTTAATTGAAAGACATGAGGCCCATTAGCTCAGTTGGTTAGAGCGTCGTGCTAATAACGCGAAGGTCGCAGGTTCGAGACCTGCATGGGCCATTTTTCTTTTTATATTAAGTTTTTATAATTATTCTATAAACGTTACACAATATTCAAGATTACAATTTTCAAAAGTCTTATAGTAAACATAAATATTATGACATGATTAAAACGACATTTTTTGCTTTTAAAAATTCTTACCTACTAAAATTTTGTATCTATTTAAACTTTGTTACATAAATTAAAGGAGGGTACTTCATAAAAGTTTCTGTTTTTTGGAAATAAACAAAAAGAAAGTTTACTGTTCGTAAACAAAACAGCCATAAATTGACGACGCAATAAGTTTATAAGCACTTTTAATTTATTTTTATTGGCTTACGAATACTTGACTTATAAGCATATTGATCCGACACATAAATAAGTCAAAAGATACGTGTATAAGTAAGTTTAACCAACTAAACGGTTCTAAAAACATCGTCAATATGTACAACTCTGGTATACCAACAAAAAGAAGACCTCATATACAGAGCCAAACTCAAATCATGGCATGCAATAGTAAACACAAGTTGGACAACTGACATTTTATATATCGCATTGAGAAGCAAGGTCAAGGGTAACTAGCACTAGTTTAATTTCTTTTTCACAACAAAAGGCACTATAAACCCCACCCCCAGAATCAAATTTCATCAATCTGCATCATTTCTTGACTACCAACTGAACTTGTTGGCCTACAAAAAAAATAAATCCACATCCCTATGATATAAGCACAATTATGAGAACAATAAGATTTGGGCATTCTCATCACTTCTTATCTTCTTTCTGTTCCTTGTCCTGTCGTTTTTCCTTGTTCTTGTGATTCTGCTATGATGAAATAGACCCAAGTGAGACGGAATGCTAATAAAAACAAAAAAGATACAACGATGTGTCTCGTTAGGTCTACTTAAACCCAAAGAAAACATGAGATTCACATTTAAAGTGTGTGACAATACAAGAAGCTAAAAGTACCTATTGGAATAAGGAATATGACAGGAAGAATACAAACTCCATATTCCTTATGTTGCCTTCCACCTCATTGGTCACCTCTCTTTCTTGCCTTCTGTTTCTTTCAGAATGATTCAGCCCGAAGGGTCTTGTATAAAACATAGTTACTTCAAGAATGATCGCAGCTTAGTCTAAAAGTATTTCTTTGATTCTTTCATCTTCATTTTTTGGGATCATTAGCAAGGCGTAAAAATTGAAATGCTCAAAGTATCCAACAAAAGGTGTTCCCCTGACCCAAAAAACAGTTATATATATACATCATCACTTTCAGCCAACTAGTCTGCATAAAAAAAGACCCTTGAATTGCCTTTTAGATGCACATTAATACACAACGCAGTAGGTGTGCCCAGATGTCTCTGGTGCCACAGTTCTTAGATTAACTTTACTTTCAAGCTCTAGACTATTTCTGAAACTCAAGGAGCGTGTCTGTTTTGGCATCTGAAAGAGCTAACATTTAACTTATTGTCGCCAGTAAACAAAGCTGATACATTGTTAGAAATCTACAAACAAATTGACCATATAACATGTAAAAGACACAGAGATTAGAAATAGACATGGCACTACACCAAAACTTTAGCAACATGCTTTTTAATATAATCTCATCAACCAAATTAACTCACCTCAGACTGACTTTGCATAGAAGCAAGTAAAACTTCGATTGAAGGGTCATTCGGATCAACACCTAGAATCTGGGTAGCAAACATACCATGAAATGAAAATCAAAGGAGAAATGAAGTTTGATACCCATAGGATAAGCAGATACTTTGTGATCATACTAATAGGAGCGTCATCTTTTACTCAGCATAGAGAACTTACTGAAGCAAGAATTGATGACACGAGTGACTGGTTTTCCAACAATTCAGTGACATTTGTCTCATCTTTTGAATTGTCCTGTATGAATAAAAGAAGATCTGCAAGCATAAGAAGCAACAGAACGTATCAGAAAAGCATAGCTTAGCACCTTTGCACGAATGGCTGGCATTGTAAGAAGAATTCTGCACAGTTACAGCCATTTGTAGCAATTAATGTTTTGATAGGACTAACCAAGGTCATCTAAGAGGTAATTAACAGTGACTTGCACCTTTTATCATTTAAAAATCATTTTGAATGATATAAAGGATGGCAAAGTATGGTAAAAAGGCAGTACTTCAAATATATATCACTTTTAAACACTGATAATCTTCTTATTTCAAATACATTATGCAAAGTGCAAACTATTTACAAAATGAGAGGGCAATTACCGGAACCTCCTCAAGTGTGAGACAGGCACATATTATAGAATGTATGTAACAACAGTTGGTAAAATTCACCATATACAAGAAATCAATTGAAAAGGCAAGTAAAAAGAACTTGACGTTACCAGTTCCAAAAACTTAAGAAAAGTATGTCTATGACCTAATGATATAAGCCAACAACAGAATTTGGCATGCCAATATAATAACCAACCTAGTAGCAACTCCCGATCTTCAAAATCTGCTTCTGACATGTCTGTGTCTCTTGTAGAAGTGTTGGAGGAAGAATCATCCCTCGACATTGCAAGTGCTTGTTGTAACAGGGAATGATCATTATCCTGTAAGGGATCAATTTATTTGTTCAGGAGTTAATTTCATTGGAGAGTAACAAAAGGCCAGACATTATAAACCTACAAGCTTTAACTCATTTTCTTGAAAATTTCTATCTCTACAAGTTTCTCTGCTAGGTATGAGAAGATAAAAATAAAATTTTTAGAAGACATCATAGTTACATATAAGTATGCTCCCTGTTAACAGTCTCAATGGTTGAGGGTACTGGCTATTGTCTCCTTATATGTCATTGGGCAATACTCACCTTGTTAGCTAACTTTTGGGGTGAAGTTAGGCCCAATATCCCTCTTTCTTCACATGGTTTCAGAACAAGACTCATCTCTATACTTGGTTTACCCAATGCTGGGCCCATCTTACATTGTCCATGCTCCAAATTCCCTTGGCATGTGGAGGAGAAATGTCAGGTTCCCACATTGCATTAAGGATATGGGTAATTGTCTCTTTATACTACTGCCTTGGGCAATGCTCACCTATGGGCTAAAATTTTGGGATTGTGTTAAAACTCAAGATCTATCTTCTTCACACTCGAGAAAATAAAGGATTTAAGTAACATCAACTACTACTACTCTGTATCAATCCCAAACAAGTTGAGGTTGAACATATGAATCCTAACTGGCCATGTTTCTTTTTTAAGCTCGACAAAATAAAGGATTCAAGAAATCCCACAAATCAATTTGTACATGACCAATAACTGGCTAACAAGTATAATTCCTCTTATCCTCCTTCCTTCACCCCCTCAACAAAAAGGCAAAAAGAGAAATAGTGTATATACATGCAAGTTGCAACCTTCCCAAATTTGGGCAATCAATAGGCACCAGCAACCAGGACAATGTGGAACTTAACACCTCACACATAAGGCTTGGTCTTACTTCCATACATGGTCGTGTGTAAAATCCCTACTAGAGATTCAAATTTCCATATAGTCTCAAGCTTCAATAGGCAGAGAAAAATTGAAGACAAGCCTTAAGGATTGCCCGTAAAGGACCTATCATTTTTAACATACATATGTCATGTGCCCACAAATGGAACCGCCAGTCCTCACCAAAAAAATAAAATGACAAACAAAAAATGAAGATTCGAAAGAATACCAGTTTCTTCTTTTAATATATAATTTTTCTAATAACTCAGAAGGTCCTCAAAAATTTCTAAAATAGTGAGACACCAACCAGTAGATCAGCTGCCTTGTTTTTAGTTTCAGACTTTCGGGCACTGACATTTTCAGTCATTGTAACGTCCTGGGAAGTTGACTGCATTTCTCCTTTTTCTTGTTTTGCAGCTTCTTGTGCAGCCTTCTTTGCTGCTGCTGCTTGTCTATCCCTTTCCTCCTCCATTGAAACTCGAAGTGCCAGAGCAATCTCAGGATCCAAGTTAGGATCAACACCAAAATCATAGCCAGACCCTGCACCAGAAGCAACCGCAGCAAATCTCTTTCTAGAGTCAACATCTCTAGTAAAGATAGGATTCCTGCCAATTTCAGATGAAAATATGATATGTTATGAAGATTATCTGGTGCAAAGTAAAAGATGGTAAAATATTGCTAACAACCTCCCTAGCACATCAGAAAGATCCCTAGCCCCAGGAGGAATATAAATGATGTGACTGTTATCATTGTTGTTAACTGCAGCAACTAATGCCTCCAGCTTCTCAGCCTTCCTTTTATCTTCTTGACCAAAATTAATAACATCAAGAGCTACTCTATGCTTATTCAACTTTCTTCCAATCATCTCCAAGACCCTCTTGTCTTCTTTAACAGGGCTGAACAAATAGTAAACGTCAATACAGAGACAAAAAATCAACAGTTGAGGCAGCAACAATTACTCAGGAAGAAGTCATCACCTGCCAGCAAAAAGAATGATCCTCTGATGCTGCTTTTTGTTTTGCCGATGCTTCAGAGCCAACTGTGCCACTTGGAGTCCAGCCGCCAAATTCATCTCACCACCGATATTTAATCCTGAGAAAGGTAAGAAAAAGCCAATCACATAAGAAACTGAAATGGAACTATTAAAAGGAGATTACTAGACAATATATAGTTAACAAAACATCTGAAGATGACAAGGATGTGAGTATCATACAGACATTATAGTGAAGTATACACTGGCTTTAGGAGAATCCTAGTAGCACAATTAGTTGTCAACCTGAACTTTCACCTTATTGGTGAAAATTTGATTCTCCACTTGTAAGTTCTTCCCCCATACCCTTTCCCCTACTAAAAAGAAGAAAAACAGTATACACTGGCAGTGGAAACCCTTCTCTCATCGGGCTAGGATCTATAGCCGATCGACTTGAGGAAAGTGCAGTCAGATTCAAAATCCTCAATGTCTTGTCTTTACCTTCACTTCGAGAGACAAGCACCGCATCTACACTGGCTTCGAGATTATCTTTCCACAACCATCTTCTTCAGTTGAATAAAATTAAAGTAATAGGGAGGCAATGGACGTTCTATTGTGATTGCAAGTAGATTAATACAACATATAAATGAGTAGTTAATAACTGAGGAAGTCAAATTGAGGATCTTACTGACTTTCTAGGCAGAAAATAAAAAAGAAATCCTCATTTTTTTTCCCAATCCTTTAGGCATTACCAGTCCTTTCAGTTCAAATTTTGGGCTCTTATTCATTACCGCTCTTTCCGTCTCCCTATTTGTTGTACTAATATGTTATTAATATCACATACCTGCAGGTCTTTATCCTACACCCATTGTTTCATCTTAAGAAAGTCAGCCTTCTCATTTCGTTTCGTTTTGTATCTGTCATTCAGCTGGCATTTAAAAGCTTCTGCCTCTGCCTTCGACAAATAAGGGACTAAAAATGCTATCAGACACTGTAGGGACAGGTTATCTTTTATTACATCTTATTAAGCAAAAGACACATTTTCATTCTCTCTTTTTCAGATATCACATACCTGCAAATTTTATGGATAACTTAAAAAAAATTATGAAGGGTATAAGTAGGTTTAATCACAGAAGATGTGGTGATATCAGGAATATTGGTAACCCTCTTATGTAAATCTTCTATCGGAGGACAAAAATGTAATTGCACAAATGGTAAAGAAGGAATACCTGAACTGGAAGAAACAAGTGTCTTTAGGCACACGCAAGTGAACACCAACAAATCTAGAGTACTAACTAGTAAAATTTGGAAAAACCTTTGTCAAGATCCTACAGAAGAGGCACTAGAACCGCATAGTGTCATTACTCAAAACCAATCACTTATCTCCCATACTTGTTCTAGTCATCATAATCTCAGAAAATTCTAGTAAGCCTAGATTCCATTAAATCTAATATCAAGATAGCAAGATGCAAAACCGATAGAAGTGATTTTAATGGCGTCTACAGAGCAATAAATTACTACGAAGAAAAGCATAGCCATGCAGAGAAGCTTACCGTTAATGCAAGATAACATTTCTCCAAAGTCACTGGTTGGAGTGATTAATACACGAACTCCTTTGCCAGCCATGGTTAATGCTCCGACTGTACTCTCAGAGTTTGCCTGCAAATCGATTAACCAAATCACACAATGGAACAATCAAGAGTATAGACTTGGTGCTTACTAAAAGGTAATTAAGAAATTGCTGAAATACACTGTAACGTCATTGCGTCAGCTATTCACGGAAATCCTAAGAAGAGTAAAACTCATGATCAGTAGGTATGGAGGACCATTGCACCCACTACTTAATGATAGTTCACAAACTTCCTATAAGTAAGTATTTTTTAGGAAAGTCTTCGACTATATTCACAACAGCGTAGTCAAAAACTCATTTGAGGCACACTTAAGCCCAGAAGCTAGATGCAAAACATGTTGAGCTTACCGCATCAAAGCACCTATGGCGGGGTGTTTCATTACCTATGGGCTCCCTCTTTAAGAGGATACTATTAACCAGTAACTATTTCAGTTAGTAGAGCACCATTGTTGTTCTTGAATTACATATATACTTTTTTATAATTTCTGCATTTGCATTTTCTTTCATTAAACTCTACACTATACTTGGTCCTCTTTTTAAGGTTCACTTCTCGTTTTGATAACACTGATGCATAGCAATTTGTATAACTCGAACACAATCAATTATGGCCAAAAAAACCGTCACCAACTATTCAAAGGTTGAATAAATTGCCTGGGTTTTAGCACTACACAAATGAAACTAACAGCATCAGATTGAGCTTCAAACCCTACACTATTAGTCTTTTCTAGGGTTCACTTTTCGCCGTTGATAAACATTGATACATAGCAGTTTTATATAACTTGAAGGTAATCGGTTATACCCAAAACGCTATCACAAGCAATTCAAAAGTTGAATAAACTACCTGGATTGTAGCACCACAAATGAAACTAACAGCGTCAGATTGAGCTTCAAACTTTACACTACACTTGGTTTTTTCTAATGCTAACATTTCGCCATTGATAAACACTGATAATAGCAGTTTTGTATAACTAAAAAACTATTGGTAATGGGCAAAACACTACCAACCAGGTGTTTAAAACCACAAATCGAAGTAAAAGCCGAATATTGTGCATCAAACCGGTTGCGCGAGTAATCACCATTACGCATCCATTCAGAATTATCAAGACAGATCATTACAGCCTGAAAAAAAAAACAGTTACGGAAAAAACATCAACAGATAAGCAAATTGTTAAACAGAAAACGCAAAATTGAATTTTACAGATTGAACTGAGTATTCACAACAACAAAAAAGGGAAGAATCTGACCTCCTCCACCATTGTTAACGAACATTAGAAGGTTAAAATTCTGCAGAATCAGTTTTTGTTTAAGCAGCATCAAAATGAAGTTTACTTGATGAACAAGTTATTACTTAATTTCCTTTTTAATCCGTTTAAAAAGAATAACATAATTCTATATTAAGTAATAATTTAATTTTAAAATAATTTATAGCAATACAAATATTATCACTTATTTTAGATTACAAGTTTTAAAAAATTTCCTTTCTTTCTTAAATTTTATGCCGAGTCAAACTAACTCAACGTCCCACCTTTCATTCCTTTCTGATACCATCACAATATATTATAGTATATGAATATACTTGAATAGTATGAAGGAGTAACTGTGCAGTGTTTTCATTGAAGGACGACTTCTTCCTCCTTGGTATCATCAAAGTATAATATACTCTGATGGTATCAATGAGTAACAATAATGTTTTCGTTGAGATTTGTTTGAGTCTTTCAATGAGATTACTCAATCATCTATGATATTATTACGGTATATCTACATGCTAGCATGGTATCATCGAGGTATGTTTCAATACCTTCGATATTTTAATTTAACAACAATTTTAAAAAGAGTCATAATTCATATACATTTTTAAAAAGTTTGCAAGAAGAGAAAAAATAAAAATAAAAATATATTTTCAACTAATTTAAAATTTAATAAATAAGATCATGCCTTTAATAATTTTCTCTTAATTATTTATTAAAAAAAGTCTAATCCTATATGATATCGAAGGAATATCAATGTACCGATGGAGTATCACATAAGATTAAGCTCAATCCTATATGATATCGATATGGTATCAATATACCGACGAAGTATCACAAAGATTATATTTTCAACTAATTTAGAATTTATAAAAATAAAATTGTAACTTTAATAATTTTTTCTTAATTTTTTCTTAAAAATGAGTCCAATCCTATTTGATATCGATAGAATATCAATATATCAATGAAGTATCACAGAGGATTAATCTCAGTCCTATATGATAATGATATGGTATCAATATACCGATGTGGAGTATTATAGAAGATTCATTCATAGTAGTGATGTTGATGTCATACAGACTTCATGCGTGAAATAAAAAAGAAGAAAGTAGAATAAGCGGGTAAATAATTTGGGCCATAGATCCATTAAGGGTAATTAGTTTGGGTCGGATCCAATTTGGATAAATAATTTCACAATGGTCTATTTTAGGTACTTTTCCCTATTTTGAGCTCATATTTATAAACTGAAATACATTTATTTAATTTATATTTAAATAAGTTAAATAATTTATATTTTAAATGAATAAATATACATGTATCTTTATCTTTTACAAATAGAAGAAGAAAAAATTTGAACTTTCTTTCCCGATCAATAACAACACACCTAATATATATCAACCCACCAGCTCACATTATTTATCCATCTCTTGACTCCATTTCGGTCGATGATCGAATCTCAAATTTAAGTTAGGGTGAAGTCAAGATTGAAAGTTGATGTTCGAGTATTTCATAACATATCATAATTTAATAGTCGAATATAGTTAATTTGACTTAGAAAGATACCATTGTTGAAGATAGTCCATATTACAAATGAAATCAAGAAGATAATTTTCTTATATAGTGTATAAATTAGTCATTGATTCGAGGCATTTTCTTATTGTATCAATAATTAAATTGTTAAGAATTGCTGATTAATTACTCATATTTATCAATTAATTAATAACTAATAAAACTAATTCATAACGTATAGATCGAATTGAATCACCTATAAACAACTTTACGTTTGATATTGTTTCTTCTTGTTAGCAAAAACTATTGATTATAACGTAACACAAAGTTATTCTATTTCGAATAGTTTATGGGTAAAATTGTCATTTTCACTCGAGTGCGATCCAAGCCCAACAGATTGCTTGACCCGAATCCTGCTCCATCTCTTCCGTTGTTGTTCTAGCCGCCATTTTTGTGAATTGGAGTTTTCATGGAGATTATGGAAAAGCATTCGTAGTTCGATTTATACAGTTTCTTTTGTTCATTGTAAAATTGAGTACAGAAACAACAATCTTTCAGCATATTACATCCACGATTTTTTCTTCAGGTATTCCGACGAACTTCTGTTTAATGCTTTCGTTTTCTTTCCCTTTTGTTAGTGTGGCGGCCGGAGGCGGAGCTAGAGTATTAGTTTACGAGTTTGGTTGAACCTGATAGCTTTATACCAAATTATGTATTTGTGTTAAGAATCTAGTTAATTTTAACAACAAACAAACAACTAAATGTCCCGGGGATTATTTTGTTGTAGTTACCGCTCTGTGCTCAGAGCTCAGTAAGCTTTGTTATGCTGTCACTTTGGTTGTGTTTTTTTTGGATTGTTTTTTCTTGAGCTGAGGGTCTATGGAAAACAAACTCACTATCCCTGGGGTCGGGTAAGTTCTGCGTACACTCTATTCTACTTTGTATAACTACACTGGGTATGCTGTTTGGTCTACATTATGTTTGTTAAAAATCTACTTAAATATAACAACAAACAAACAACAACGTGCCCAGGGGATTATTTTGTTGTAGTTACTGCTTTGTTATGCTTTCACTTCCGTTACTTCTTTTTGGACTGTGTTTCTTGAGTTGAGGGTTTATGGGGAAATAACCTCACTAATCACTATCTATGAGGTTGGGTTAATGTTTGTGTACACTCTATTCTCCCAAGACCTTACTTTGTGGAATTACTGTGGGTATGTTGTTGTTTTTGTTAGTCTACACTGGGTAGGTTGTTGGGTCTTGGCAGGGTGGGTGTACACATACCTTACCCCTATTTTTGTAGGTAGAAAGACAAAGTAGGATTTCTCTGTTTGAAGAGTTTTTTTCAAAGGAATAATGAGTTTCACGTTCTTGACTTGATAAAAGTTGTTGTCTTTTTTTAGTTTTGTGACGATGGATGTGGAAGAAACCTCAAGTTTGCCTCTGCCAGATGCTTTTCTTGATTTTCTGAATCAACATGACTTGGATCCTTCTATTTATACTGCCACCGATTCCATACCTCGTTATATAAGGTACTTTTTGCAACTTGCAAGCATGTCTAGTGCATTAATTCATTTTCTTTGTTAACATAATGTCTGTTAAATGTGATGTGACTAAATAAGTAGCAAATGCTGTCAGTTACTTCATTGTATGAATTCACCTTTAATTTCCAATGACAATAAGTAAGTTGGTGGTGATACTTTTTTACTTTTTGAGATAACAGTGGTGTCCGGTTCAACTTGGGTGCATTTCGACTAATTTATCGGGTTCGTACTACTTTCTATTAGTTCAAATACCGGGTAATTCTGTGCATTTGGTATGGAGGAAAACATTTTGCGTTGTTTTTTTTAAAAAGAAAAATCTATTTCCACCATGTGAACTAAACTTTTTTGGATCATTTTCTAGTGTTTGGTTGTGTATAAAAGTAAGTTGTCTATTGTAATCTACAGAATATTGTATATGGTACAATGATAGTGTTTTCGTGATATAACTAAAAGTAGTCAACAATGTTTACCTGTTGATTGAAGCAAGTGGAATAGTTTGGATATTTGCAAAGCAACTGATTTCTGTCCAGAAATAAATTGTCATTTTTCTCCTGTTGGTAGAAGATATTTTTCTCAGAGAAAATATCTTCCACCAATTCAAGATGACAAAACATCAGAAAATGCTTTCATTATGAGAAAATTTTCCGGAAGAACAGCATTTTCCTCTAACCAGTCACACTCTTAGGATATTAAAGGACGTGCCTTCACAAAAATAGATGTAAGAGATCTTCCGCAGACTCATGCTTGCACATTCTTTTCTTCTTGAAGGATAAAGCCCGGTTATGAGGATTTGCTTGAAGAAATTGAAAGTGATATTAGATGCAAGCTTGAAAGAGTTTGTTGGTTGCCCAACTTTTATCATCTTCAACCTGATGTTCGAATTGCTAGTTCGAAGGCATACCAAGAAGGGAAGGTGAGGAATCTTTTTAATAATGTCTCTTGGTGAATATGATACTCATGAGTCTTGAGATTATTATTCAATTTCCAGAATGTCAAAAATGCTCTTCATGGCATTTTTTCCCCTTAACATTCTCTACAGATTAGGCCAGATAGAAGTTTGTCTCCTGCTCCTACAAAAGTATACTACCCTTTTTTCTCTCTCCAACACTATCTTTATTTTTTTTTCTATTCCCCGCAATTGACTTGTTGGCTTTGTGGTTAGGAGAGTGTCGGCTAAGAAAAATTTACCCCGTAGTGATCAGCTTTATATTGGAACATTCCTAGTCTAGCGGTTGATTATAAAATATGATCCATTCCATTATAGTTGATGATTTTGAGTAATTATTTTGTCTTTGTATCCAGATGTATGGAATTGATGCAGCATCCGGAGCTGCTGTGACAGCTTTGGACATTGCAGTTGGGGATCATGTCCTTGATCTTTGTGCTGCACCTGGTAATTCCTGACTTGAATATGGAAAAAGTAAATTTCTATTATGGCTGTTGATTTTGGCACTTGGTCACCTCACATGTTACTAAGAATTTTGATTCAGGGCACAGTGTTAGCAAGAGGTACCTACCTTATTATGGATCTGTCAAGAGTATAACAACCTAGTGCTTCAAATATTTTACTACGATAATAGCCTAGGCGACAAAGAGGAAGTTCTGAGTGGTGAATCTCGTGCTTTGGATATTAAGAAATCTTGAGAATAAGTGGATGTCTTTAAAAGTATATTATTGAACAAATAATAGTGTATTTTAAAATAACTAAAATTCCTGGATCTAATCTTTTTTTTGACAAGTGCTGGACAAGGCCATAGCTAAATGAAGTATGTACTATATAGATATGAATTATTCATAGGCATTCTGTTCAAGTGTGAAAACTGAAGAATCCTTGATCTCTTTAATTGATCTGTAGAACCACGTGTTTTTCTGAAGCTCTTAAACTTCCAAGTACCATGTATAGACTTCTGATACAGCATTCCAATTTGTAACTCATTTGATATCTTCTTTTAGGTGCTAAACTTTGTATGATGTTGGACATTCTTGGCAGTTCGGGTTCTGTGACTGGTGTTGACATTGCAAAACATCGATTAGCGGCCTGTAGAACCATGCTACAGAAATATAGTCTTGGTGATCATTGTCGTCTTTTTGTTGCTGATGGAACCAGTTTTTCCCTTCTCCCTGTCAGGGTCCATTCAGGCTCTCCGTTGCAAAATGAAAATGGTAAAATGATTATCATTTAATACCCTTTAGTTGCAGATGCTTCTTTGTTTCTTAATAATTTTTGCTAAGTCTTTTTGGTCAGTCTTATTCCAAGGTATTTTTTTTTCTATTAATCTAGCGGATGAATTTGCTTCCGGAGAAAAATCTGAAGTATATCGGGAGTGGAAGTCTCGCAGACCATGGAAAGAAAGGAAGAAGGAAGCTATAGCTAGAGAAAAAGGTGTCTCCAAGCTATTCTCACCAACTCAAGAACCAGAGCTTATATTTTATGGCCGGTATTCTGGGGTGGTTGGGATGAGAAAAAATGAATTATATCAAAAGATGCCTATCAGTGAGGTTTTGCAGCTCGGCTATGACAAGGTACACCAAAGTTCCGAACCTCCAGATGTTTTCTATTAACCTTAATTTGTTTTTTCCCTGACTTGAAGGCTTATTTTCTTTTTCTAAAAACTTGATCCTCATCAAGTCAAGATTATTGTTTTGGTTCCTATTCAACAGTATGAACGGCTTTAAGATATTTTCTTATATTTTCCTAAATAACTACTGACTAGTTTGAGTTTAAGTCAGGTTCTTGTGGATGCAGAATGTACCCATGATGGTTCTATTAAGCATGTTCAGAAATTTGAGCAATGGGGCTGGACAACCTTCCAGCGCCGTGTGCTAGATGCAGAAAGAACCGATGATCTGACTGTCCTTCAGGTGCTGAAGTTTGCTTGTTTTCCCAGACTTACATATATATTTTGCCTTGAAAACACTCTGCCAATATTTGCTGCTGATACAGCTACTGATTAACAACAGAGATTGGCTCATAGCTTGTAAAAATTAGTATAATTTGGATAATTATGCTTGGTTCGTGGTGAGTGCCGAGTAGTAGTTTGAAACTGTTTATATAATTTATGTCTAACTTCCTTAATGATAATTGCCTTGTTACTAGAAAATAATAAAATGAAGTATAACAGTATATCAGATGAATAGGCATATCAAGAAGTTCATGGCACACCTTCATCTTATTGAGGAGACCCTAGATAGGAAGGTATGAAGGTCGAGGATTAGGATAGAAGGGTGTAGGTAGCCGAGTGTTGTAGTACTTTTACGTGGGAGAGGCAGGGGGTTGTCTCGTTTCATCTTCTCCTTAATTGTTAATCTTATCTTGTATCACATACTATCTTGTTTTTCTTTTTTTATTTACTACTACATATTACTTTATTTGCTTTGTTTATCTTGCTATTTTTGCGGTCGTTATTTCCTTTCTACTCTGATTACACTTTTTAAGCCGTGGGTCTATCGGAAACAACTTCTCTACCCCACAAAGTTAGAGTAAGGTCTACGTACATCTTACTTGCCCAGTTGCCCTAGATCCCATTTGTGGGAATACACTGGGTATGTTGTTGTTGTAAAAAAACATGAGAATGTACAGATGCAACTTTGCACCTCTTTGTGGATTCTAATTTCTTGTTAAATGTCTGTTGTCTGGATCACATATATACTATACTCGAGGCTTTAGATAATTGCATCTTCCTCAAGAATAGTCTCTAACTCTCAAAAAGCACGAGCATTCCCATAATGACAAGATGTGAGTATGCTATTGATTCTAGGTCTAACCTGTGCGTTAGTTGTGGAGATTTTCTGAAGAAAAGGCCATGGAAAGAATTTCAAAAGCAATGTCTCAGAATCACTAGATCTTATCTGGCATGCATATTGTTGCGTGATAAGAAAAAAAAAGACATTTCAAAGCTTATTGCTCTTCAATATTTTTAGAACCAGAATCACAATTAGGTATATCAAAATAAATTTAGTAAGTCACGTCCAAGTTTTGCCATTAATTCAGTTGTTTGTTCCAGGTCTTAGTAGCACTTTCGACTGTAACTTTAGTTTGGAGATGATTTTTATTGTGGGCTGCTAGGTAGTAGGTACTCTTTAATTAGGAAAGGCTATAGAAGAGGTTCCAGTCCCAAGCTGTAAATTTTCTTAATTCAGAGAAGTTGGTGACTGGGTTCTATCATCACAAAAAAATTGAGCTTGTTTCTTGGAAATGTGGTAGGGAAGATTCTGCAGTTCTATAGTCTTACATGTAACACTTGTTACTTCTAGAGGATGGGCATAATCTCTCTTCTGCTCCAGCTTTAGTGTCCTCAAAATTATCTCTCTTGAATAGCGGAATATTTCTAAATTTAGCCACATGTAGTTAAATTTCCACGTTTAAGTGAACTTTTCTCATCTCAGTGCTTCGTTCCTCATTCAAGGTTCTTCTCCTTGCTCAAGTTTGTTTCTCCCTATGTCTTTGCCTCTCAATAATTTATCCGTTTCTTGCAGCTGCAACTTCTGACTAATGGATTCAGATTGCTCAAAGTTGGGGGAGTCCTTGTCTATAGCACTTGCAGGTGCCCATCTGCTTGTAATCCCATGGCTACAGATCCTCTTTTCTTTCCATTTTATTAATACTCATAAATCCTTTTCGTTGTTTTTTTGTGTACCAAATAGTTTAACCTTTGCTCAGAACGAAGATGTGGTCGAGCTGTTCCTTTCGGAGAACACATCTGCAGGTAAAATTTAACTTTTGTAATAAGTCTAGAAACTGATAGCTTAAGGTTCTTGTAATTTCACAAGCTGGGTGCCAGATATAATCACATATGTGGTTAGCGTTGTTCATTATCCATTGCATATATACCTATTGTGAAGTTTCTTCATCTGCTGTTTTGAAAGTTGAACTTTTCGGAAATAAACAGCCTCTTGCAGAAATGCAGGTTAAGGCCGCATACAATAGACCATTGTAGTACGGCCTTTCCCTGAACCATGTGCATAGCGGGAGCTTAGTGCACTGGGCTGCTCCTTTTTATCACCCGGCTAGGGACTTCTAAGTTAATTGGTTTGAGGGGGTTGTAAGAGGCCGTCTAATGTAAGTAAAAGTTTAACAAAAGCCTAACACAAGACGGGTTTTATTCACCTGCATTGTAAATCATCATTAGAGTTCATATGAATTGCGTGAAAGACACCATTGATTCATATTCCTTGCGAATACAGGCATTCCTCATCTCTGGCACTTTTCTGTCTACCAGCTCCCTGTTTTTTGTTGTATTGATGCAGTCAGTTTTCTTATTTATTTTCAGAATTGTTGGCGATTACTGCTGCCAAAATTGGCCATGCAAGAGTGGTCGAATACAAAAAACCTTGCGATTTGATCCTTTGACATCTTGTACAAGCGGACTCTTTGTTGCTAAGTTCACAAAATTGGTGATTTAGTCAAAAGAGGTTTGTTCTAAACCCTATGCATATCCTAGCGCGAACATCATAGTTGGCTGGCATGTTTGTGGAAACAGGATCAATTTCGAGATTGTGCTTATGGTGAAATACACATTGAAAGCATTCGATGTCCAGACCATCTAGATTCACGCCATTGAAGTCACACCACGAGGGAATTGGATTACTCGAAAAACTTCTTATGTATATGATAATTCATGTTTGACACACACTTTGTAGATGGGAATAGCTTCTTCTTTTTTCTATGGATGGAAAGGAAAATTCTGTTTGCATCAAAAGTTTTTGGAGTACAAAATTTTGTACAAATATGTTTGGGAATGATGTGAAGTTACTATAACAGATGTTCTCTTCTTAAAAAATTTAAACACGAACATGTTATAGACTCTAGAGGTAGATTCGGGATTTCAACTCTATTCGTTCAACTTTTAAAGAATCCATTCGTTTTTCTTTCTTTTTTTCGGATTGGATTTACTCAATTTTTTTGATATTTTCTTTGGGTTGCTAATGCTCGATAAGGCATGAGTTCTAGTATTATAAGCGTTTCGTCATAGGAACGCAGCGGATTTGAGCTTGGAGACTTGGAACAAAAATCCATTTGTTTGTAGCAAGCTTTTGAGGGTCTCAATTATATATTTAAAGTTATGAGTTCATATCTACTATTTGTTGCAATTTGTCAAGTTTTTAGACATATATATTTATGTTGTGCATTGAAAATTATGGGTTCAAATAAACACGATATTATTTTATTCACCTTTTGGATTCACTTATCAAATTGTACTAGATATATTAGTAGTTATATCTTTATCATAGGGAAATTAGTGTATATATTTAAGGAATATAAAAGGGAAAAATCACGTTTTATTCTTGCGAGATTTGGAAGTGGAGAATGCATAGTATTTGATGGGTACATAGGATCAAACGTAAAACAATGCTCTCTTGGTATAATTTTATGGTTTGTTAGAGTTTTTGAGTGTAATAAATCAAAGTTGAAGACAAATCAAGATAGTTGACTGTCAAGCCTACAAGTGAAGGGTCGAACGATGAAATAATATAATCTATTCAAAAGCTATACAAAAACAAAAAGAACTTTTTTCGTGTCAATTTGATATGAATATATATATTTTAAAATATTGATCAAAATTCACATAGTTTAATTTTCAACTATTATGAAACGGAACAAAGTATAAAAGTAATGGTAAATAAATGCTAAAACTGATGTAACTCACCCATTAATTAAACTACCTTAATTATCTAATCAATGTATTTAACATAAACAGGGGAAAATCTAAGTTGAACAAAGGGAGTTTAATTGAATATCCTTCGTTGAAAAATAATATTACACAAATTAAACATAAATACGTTTATTCTATACTTAATTTATCGAATATTGACGTACATTTTTCTTTTTTTTTAGAAAAAGTAACAAAGGATTTCAAAAGTTGCTTTAGGTCATATAAGTCCTAGTTATTTTTCTGAATTCCCTTGTATAAAATGAGAAAAAAAAGGCTAAAAAGTTAATCAACATCTAATTAAACGATAAATTAAGAAGAAAAAGAAATGATAATAGACCGTCCTGCTAAAATGAGTTCGACAAAATTCAATAACTTTATTTTAGAACTCAGCAAACAAAAAAAAAGAAAGACTAAAAAGGCCACAAAGTCCACAAACCAATAACCAACTTGAAATTCTGAATTTTGCTCTATACAAAACGTCAAAAGTTCTATACTCCTCAAACTAGCTTTTCTTAAATTACTTTAAGTCACAACACGACCATTACACGCGATTTAGAAACACTTTAAGTCAATAATTTTTTTTGTCGATAACCTCAGATCAATCAACCGAATATTGAATAATACGTAATCGATCGAACACTACTCCGAGTTTCTCCTTTGTAAACTTTGATCCTCATAGAATCTCTTAATAAATTCCTCAGCTCTTTGCTTCAAACTTTGCCTTTCCTCAAAAGTAGCTTCATCATCTTCTTCTTCATCATCATAATTTCTCCAAAATTCTTTTCCATATTCCAATTTTTCTTGGCAAAAAATATTTTTTCTTTTTTGAAATTTTTTTCTTTCATTTTCATGATATTGACAATTACATTCATAAAGACTCAATGTTGATGAGTAACAATTAGTAGGAGGGATTTTTTTTGTAATTCTTTTGCTTTCGGAAGGATTATTTGATGAGGAAATGAAGAAAATACTAGAGATTTTCTTAATAATTTTGAACAATTTGTGGGATTTATTTCTTGAAGGGAAAGACATATTGTGTAGAGAAAAAAAAAAACTTTGAAACGCATGTAATATTCTTTGATAAAATTGTGAATAAATATTAATGTATATGTTAGTATATTTAAATAAGGAACATTTAATTAGGGTTTTTAATTAATAAGGGAATTGATATAATTTCGTATCTTCAAGTTTCATTGGTTAAATTCATTTCCATATAAGTATCTTTGTGGATTAAAAGTTTTTCCGATGAGGTACGAAAAAATTATCATATCTTATTAATTTATGTATCATATTTATTGAATTTATTATATATAAAGTACAATGAATATATCAAAATCACTGTATCTTACTAAATTATGTATCATATTTATTAAATTCCTATAAAAACTAAATTTATTATACATAAAGTATAATTATGATTCAATGTGATATACTTTTTTGTTAAATTATTTATTGTAAAATAAATTCAAGAATGCAATGATTCATTGTAAAAATAAATTCATTATACATAATGTTTGTTGTTTTTTAATAATAAAATATTATTCATTATATCTTTACTAAAACATTCTATATATGATGGTGAGAGAATAAACTATATCAAAAACTATATCCAAAAATGACTTCTCACTTAAAAGATGTCACAAAATCAACAATAACACATCAAATACGTAAAACATTATGTGAGTGCAAATGAGATCATTCCATTTGCACTAAAAAAAATAAAATTGCTATAAGAAAAGTTAGAGATGAGGTTCAACTAGATTTAAATTTTAACAAAAAACAAAACACTATAGAATCATATTTCACTAAAATGTCTTGGATATATTTGTACTTTTTAAAGAATTATTAATTATAATGTTAATGTGACCATATATTTATATAGGGATCTTCTGAAAATATATTATCTTATTGAAAAGAGTAACTTTTCATTGACCCAAGTAGGGACTGAAGGAAAATATTCTCTTACAGACATTCTTAATTTACCAAGTATTAATTTAGTGAAGTTTTACTGTATATACAAATATATAGTAAAAATTTATTCATTGCCTATGCATTCTGTATTTAGACCGAGCCATAAATATTTTATTATGATCAAATAAAAATAATAGGTTAAAATATATATTAATTAACTATGATTTAAAAAATATATATATTAATTAACTATGATTTAAAAAATATATATATTAATTAACTATGATTTAAAAAAAATATATATCATGCATTCATTAAGTTTAGTATAAACTAACATCAAAAATAAATTTTATTTTTACTAAAAAAAATATGAGTAAAGCTCTAGCTAACCTAGGAAAGTGATATACTTAGTATCTTCGATAAATGAAGTTTCATTAATTAACTTCCCTTTCCATGAATTTTTCAGATAAATGACAATTTTTTTAAATCTTTATTCGTAATTAAATATTTTTGTGAATAGAAATATTCCCGATAAGGTACACAAAAAATACGATAAAGATACCATAGAACTTTAAATATTTCTATATATTATACCGGGACATTATAATTTAATTCAGGTTATCAATCACTACTATTACTTATTATAAAGACTAGTCAAGAGTACATACTTTGTACGTATATATCGCATTATTAATAATAAATTTATATAAAAAGAATAAATTATCGCATTATTAATATATATATTATTGAGTACAAAACTTTAAAACAGGCAACGGAAAACAAAACCAATCTTGAACTTGTTTGTAAGTATTTTCCCAATTCTTACATTTTTTTTACTTTCAACAAACAAACAAACAAAAAAAAGTCATAAAGTCGACAAACCAATAATTAATTAAAATTCTAAATTCCCCTCCGTACATAAACAACAACAGTTCTGTACTCCTCTAACTAGCTTTTCTTAAATTACTTGCTATTAGGGAGCACTTGAATCTACAATTTTTTCTTTATAACCTCAGGCAAGTCAATCAAATATTGATTTACTCATAATTAATCGAACACTACACCAAATTTTGCCTTTGTAAACTTTGGTCCTCATAGAGTCTCTTAATAAATTCCTCAGCTCTTTGCTCCAAACTTTGCCTTTCCTCAAAAGAGCTTCTTCTTCTTCTTCATCATCATCATAATTTCTCCAAAATTCTTTTTCATATTTCAATTTTTCTCGTCAAATTTTTTTTTTTCTTTTTTGAACTTATTTTCTTTCATGATATAGACAATTACAATCATAAAGACTCAATGTTGATGAGTAACAATTAGTAGGAGGGATTTTTTTTTTTCTAATTCTTTTGCTTTGGGAGGGATTATTTGATGAGGAAATGAAGAAAATACTAGAGATTTTCTTAATAATTTTGAACAATTTGTGGGATTTATTTCTTGAAGGGAAAGACATTGTGTAGAGAAAAAAAAAAAACTTTGAAACGCATGCGTATTATTTGATAAAATTGTGAATAAATATTAATGTATATGTTATTATTTAATTAAGGAACATTTAATTAGGGTTTTTAATTGATAAGGTAAATAATATAACTTTGTATCTTCAAGTTTCATTAGTTAAATTCATTTCCATATCAAATATGGAAAAATTATAATAATATACAATTTAAGACCTTAATTTACATAACATTATTTTAGTCTTTTTATTTACAACAATAACATTTTAATTACAAACATGACAATTTATTAAAAAATAATAATTTGCACGATTTAAGAACTATTTTTTTTTGGTTAGTGAACTGATTATATGTGACTCATATTTTATTTACTTTTTTAGAATCCTAATCAGAATTATATTCGAATACATTCCTTTAATAAATATCTCACTTATTAACCTTCACACGGATGAATACCAGTGTTGCACTCTTATTTTTCTCGATATTAACGCACTGATTACTACTCTTTCCATTTTTTTTTCAATGTCACCCTTATCAAGAAAAGGATTGTATCTCTTTCTTGATTAACAAATTGCTTTCAAACTCTTTGTTTCTTTTCAAAAGATCATCTGTTACAATATAAAAATTATTCTTGCTTCTTGAAAAAATCGGTTATGACTACTCACCGATAGAGTCCTCGTTTGATGGAGTAATCCATTTGGTTGTGAAGTTCGTATAGTTGAGGTCAATGAAACAAAAAATGAAAAGAGTAAAGAGAAAGAAGATGGTGTAAAATCAAACATTGTTACACCCAAATATGGAGGAAAAAAGGGTAAGGAGAAAGTCATTACGAATGTTGAGTACCCTCATGATAGCAATTTTGAAGACATATACCAACTGCAAAAAGAATCCGTCTCAACAAGGTGACCAAATCAGAATCTCAAAAAAATTTCCAAGGTATCTTTTTTTTTTTCCAAAAATTCTATACTCTTTGGTTTCTAATTCTTAACATGCATAATATATTTTAGTTAAATTTTTTTTGTAGAAATATGGTGTGGATGATGGGAAAACAAAAGACGTTAAATGTGGTAACACGAAAAAGACAAAGTTATCCAAGCTATGTTATATTTTATTTTTTTTGTTTGAAAAAACAATTATTTTGTTGCTTTATTTTTTTTGTACTTGATAATGTTCATTTTATATTTTAATTTTGGAAGTTATTTACTTGTTTACTAATATAGAATGAATGTATAAGTTGTTTTTATTTGTTCAAATTATATACATAATTTGATTTTTATAAATGTGTTATTTGTACAAATTATATTGGTATATAAAATATGATTTAGAATGAGAGTTGTAGTTATTTATGTATTTTAAGTGACATTCACATTTTACAGTTTTCATAGCTCTATTTGTAGTTCTTTGACTTAAATGAATTATTTACTTTTTAAAAAAAAAATTTATAGCCAAAGAAGAAACAATCACATTGGCGTTCCTACGTCAACGTTAATGTGTTCAACGAGATAACTAAACGTCTTTCCGAAGTCAACATGCTTCACCTATTTAAGGAATCTCCTTTTGGATATCTATTTGATTTGCCTCCGATAAAGGTTCAACATCAAATCATCAGAATATTGATGTATGCTAAGACCAAAAATGATCGCAACGATATGTTCATCGTCAATTTGACCGGTAAAGATCTCCATTTTGGCATTAAGGAATTTCGCATTGTGACTGGTTTTAAATGTGGGGGACATACATATTTTATTTTTGACCCCGACAATCCATCAAAACTTATGAGTTTATACTTCCCTAATTCTTCTGATAAAATCAACTCACTAACCAAAAAAATAAATTTTAAATCGTGTAGATTATTGTTTTTTAATAAATTGTCATATTTATAATTAAAATGTTGTTATAAATAAAAAGACTAAAATAATATTACGTAAATTAAGGTCTTAAATTGTATATTATTATAATTTTTCCTTCTTATTTATTCGGATAAAAAAAGTGATAAGAAGTTATGCTTTTCTGACATTCTCCCACGTGGCTCCTACTATAAATGAAACAAATAAAAAGATTTCAAAATTAAAAAATAAAGAAAAAAATCATATATTTGAAATGTTTTAGTAATTTCACATTTCATCGAGAAAAAGATTCAAACTTATTCTTTGTACTATTTGAAGTTATTCGAATTTTTGATTCATTCATACACTTGCTATCAACAAATACATCTCACAAATGAAATCAGCGAACTCCACGTATCTAAATTCACTATCCCTTAAAACTTTTAATCATGATTTAAATTATTTTCATGTTAAAACTCTATTAAAGATCAAGAAAAAAAGATCTTTTCTTAAATTACGGAATAATATTAGACCAAACATCTAATAAGGATAAAATTGCTCAATTTTACATAGTACTCGGCCAAATTTAATCCTTTTTTTTTCCTTTTCCTTTTCCATTTCCATCCTATAGTTTCGGAGTGTGAGGTGAGAAGTAGGGAGGGATGTTTGTGTTGCATCTTTTTCTTTTTTAAAAAACAATTTCAATAGAGTAAATTAAGAATTATGAGATCTTAGATTTCAAATTTCATCAAACACAAAAACACTAGTAATTTCTTTACATCTGCTTTAATTTTGATCACTTGATACCTGTTGTTGGTAAAATTAGATTTGAGACTTCGTCGAACGAAAATTTTGAAGATGTAGATTAGTTTTGACACAAAATCATAACGATTTGTTGTATCTCAACATAATAGATTAAGAATCATGAGATTTCAGATTTCAAATCTCATCAGAGATAAAAACACTAGTAACTTCTTTATATCTATTCTAGTCTTAGTGTCCAAAGTTACTTGATACCACCTATTATTGGTGAAATTAGACTCGGGGTCATGTCGAACGAGAAGTTCAAAGATGGAGATCAAATTCGCCATGAAATCATAATGATTTGTTGCATCTCTTCTTTAAATCTCAATAAAATAGATTAAGAATTATGAGATCTCAGATTACAAATCTCATCAGAGACAAAAAAAAAATATTAATAATTTCTTTACAACTGCTCTAGTTTTGATGACCAGAGTTAATATCTATTATTGGTGGAATTAGACCTAAGATTGGGCACCAGACCGGAATGGGACCACCGGTATCGGGATGAACCGGATTGGAATTACCGGTATGGAGGCTCGGTTCCGTCCCGTCCCACTATATGCAAGGATAGAATCGGGACGGACCGAAATGAAATGGAATGAGATAAATGGGACGACACATAGCTATTTAAAAAAATAATACTTTTTTTGAGTTATTTTGAATTACGAAAAAATGAATGTTTTTTTATTTTTCTAAGTTTAATAGTTTATAGTATTTAAGTTTTGAATTTATAATGTAATTTACTTAAGTTTATTCTAAAATATTTTTAAATTTTTTTAATTATATAAGTTTGTAAGTTAAGTTTCCTAAAGTTTTTGAGCTTATTTTATAAGTTTTCAAGATTTAAATCTTTTGAAGTTTATAAGTTATTATACTTTTTTCTTTTAAGACAAGGGAAACCCGCAACCGCTACTCTTTGGGTGCGCACAGGGTAAAACCCTCACTCCTATGCAATAGCTCGCAAATCACATAGGAGAGGTAACCCACACTAGGCAAACCCGGTGTGACGAGCTCGACCCAGAAGGCAAACCCTTTGCTTTCGCTGGCAAGAGATTTCGAACTTGAGACCTCCAACATGTAAGTCCCAAGCCCCAAACCACTGGACCACCCCGAAGGGTTATATGAGTTATTATACTTATAACTTGTAATTTAAATAGCTTAAGTTTGTAATTCTAAAAAATTAAATAAGCAAAAAAGAAATGCTAATAAAAGTATAAAACAATGACACAAATACTATTTTTAATTTTAATTAAAAATGATTTATCGGACCGAAACTAGGATGAACCGATACCAATACCAAATCATGATACCGTTTCGTTCCGAGTACCGATTCAACGTATCCCATTCCGTCCCAAATACTATCGGATCAGAACGGTACCAGTACAACCCGATCCGATGCCTAGTCTTAATTAGACTTGAGATCTCATCGAACAAAAAATTCGAAAATGGAGATCAAATTCGACACGAAATCATAACGATTTAGGGGTGCGTTGAAAGTTCCTGCTTAAAAAAATGTCAAACATATGTTAAAAGAGCACCAAAATGTATATGCCCCAGCATGTAGCCCAGGTTCATTTTCATTGGTTATTACGTCTACTATACTTTATTCGCTAGTTGACTAATACTCCTTTTGTCTATTTTTAATTATCATGATTTTTTTTCAAACGATAAAACGATAAGAATTTTAACTAATATTTTATGATGTATTTTTTCATCATATTGATATGCAAAACGATAAAAACTTTAACTAACATTTTACGATGTATTTTTTTATCACATTGATATGCAAAAAATTGCCATTTATAATACTTTTTGTATAGTTTTTTAATATCTAAATTTTTGTTTAAATTATCAAATTATTATAATCTAATTTAACTTTAAAAATTAGTTAAAATAACCTTCGAAAAACGCAACCTAACAATTAAAAGTGTCTGGAGTATAAAGACATTATTCACATAATAAATCACGCCATTGCTGACTCTTCAAACAAATCTACAGTTTACATATTTCCCATTTCCAACAATATAGATATATTCTATTGGTAGATTCTGTACGAACTTAGAACATAAATTCGACAACTGAACTCATATTTGATAGATTGGAAACGTTCTGAGGCTCAAATGAAAGTCTCAATCTAATACGAAGAATATACGGTGTGAAAGAGGAGAAAGATGATTGAGACTGAAGAAACACATGAAGAAATCTCTGCTCCACTTAGTAAGCATTTTCACAAATTCTATGACTTCGTTGAATAGAAAGAGAGATAGATTCAGAATTTTGAGTTTATGAATTCGAGAAAATGTAACTTATTGGGTTTTTGAATAAATTTTTTAACACAAATATGTGATTTTGAATAAAGCTGTTGAATCCGTAGAGAGACAAATCAAATTTTTGAGTTTTGGATTCTAGAAAGAAGGATTTTGTTAACACAAATATGTGATTTTGATCAAAGTTATTGAGTTCGGCAGAACTTGTTCTAAAGTTCTAGCCCTGTCTATAGGCGGGTTTAGGATTTAGGGTTTAAGTTTTATGATTATGAATCTATTACACTTTTTGAAATTGTAGATTCAAAAATATTTTTTGAGAATGATTCAGTTGAATCCATTGATGAATGCTGCATTCATATTGTGTGGTTTGACTTTTTTCCGAAGCGAAAGCTTAGTATATCGAGCTCCATTTTTACTTACCTATGTTGCAGTTGATAAGCAGAAGCAGAAGGAGATATCTTCAAAAAACAGCGATGGTGTTTCGAGCAGTTCTCAATCTGAAAATTCACCAATCGAGCAAGTGGCTCTTACAGTTCCGGTCACCGACAACTCAACTCTTCCGGTCGTTACATTCCGAATGTGGATACTCGGAACCCTAGCTTGTATTCTCCTCTCATTTCTCAATCAATTCTTCTGGTTCCGCCGTGAGCCTCTCTCAATCAGCTCAATCTCAGCTCAAATCGCGGTGGTTCCATTAGGTCATCTCATGGCTATGGCGATCCCAAATCGAGTGTTCTTCAAAGGGAGAAAATTCGAATTCACGATGAATCCAGGACCGTTTAATGTAAAAGAACATGTATTGATAACGATTTTCGCGAACTCCGGCGCCGGGAATCCGTATGCGATTCATATCGTCAGTGCGGTCAAGGTTTTCTACAAGAGGACGTTGACTTTCTGGGTTTCGTTGATCGTTGTTCTGACGACGCAAGTATTGGGCTTTGGATGGGCCGGGCTTTTTCGGAGGTATTTGGTGGAGCCCGCTGCCATGTGGTGGCCCCACAATCTTGTCCAAGTTTCTCTTTTCAGGTACATAACAATCCACTGAAAGCTATCATATAGATTTCCTTATCTTTTGTGATATTAGCTGGGCTTCTGCCACGTGGCAGAACATTTAGATAGTGTAATCCTTGTCTACGGGTGGGTCGGGTTGAATATAGGCGGGTTGGGGTTGAGAGTTTGGGTCCCATGTCATGAGTGGGGTCGGGTTGATTCTTGAGTCAGTATTGGAGAGCTGCTTCGAATGATAAGGTTAAAAGATAGTTTTTGATTTTTATTTTTATTTTTAATTTAGGAATGAGACATTTTTTACTATTTGAAAAATTTAAGTCATCAAGCATGTAAAATTTATAAAACATTTTTGTATTTCTTTTAAGTTCCTACACCCTTACATGCAGTGGCAGAGTCAGAAATTTTAATAACAGATTCAAAATATGAGAAGTAAACACACGAGCTAGTGGAAGGAGGTTCAATATCTATTATACATACCTAAAAAATAATTTTAACCATGTATAAATAGTAATATTTTTCACCGAGGGGGTTCGGATGAACCCCTCATTATATGTTGCCTCCGCCCCTGCTTACATGGATTGCAGTTGCCGGATAGTACGAAGGTATAAAATATTTCATATTTTATAATTGATAATATAAGTAGATACATATTTGATCCACTCTTAAAAATAATACACATCCCATTTAAAAGGTGTCTTGTGGGATGGATAACAGTAAATTTTAACCATTTTTGCCACCTCTATCCTTAACACGTTTTTTGTGGGAAGAGATTCTACTACAGTGTCTTTCATTTGTGTATTTGATACTGCAGAATCTTTTTAAAAAAGAAATGTTTTTCATGAGAACATAAGGGTCGTTTGGTAGAAATGTATTAGCCTTCCGTATTATTAGCATCTTGTTTGGTACTCTTTTCTAATCTATGTGTAATTAATGCTTGCATTAGTTTTTTTTTTTTCGGTTTTCCAGCCGGTGTCTTGTACCCGTATTAGAGCCCGACTAAATTCGGATTCGTGCCGAAAAGTCCCACATTGGGGGTAAAGCGCTCCTAACAAAAGCGACTCCGTACCTAAGGTGTCTATGTTGTATTAGCTATACACTCTATTGTGTATTATGGTGTGTATTACTAATACCATGATTTTCTAGGTATTAGCAATATAATAGTATTAATGCATGTATTAGCTCAATTAAAGATTCAACTGCCCCTTAAATCCATTTTTACACCTTTTTCATTATAATAGTGGAGGGTATCTTTGTAAATTATTTTTTATGCATGTTATATTTAATGCATCAAACCAAACAATGCATAATAATAATCTATGTATAATTAATGCAAGCATAACTAATACATGCATTGCTATTTGCTAATACAAACATTACTAATACACTCTATTTAACATTTTTCATAGAGTGTTAAATGACTAAAAAAAGTATCCTTTTTTTCTGGTCACAAGGGGAAAAAAAGGACTTCCTTCAGCTGTGAAAATTACTTGCTCCAACCAAAGACATCAATATGTAGTACTCAAGAAATTTCATGCTTCTGGTTTGCTACTAATATTATTAGTCTTAGGGGTCGTTTGGTAGAGTGTATAAGAATAATGCTGAATATGATGCATTAGTAATGCTTGCATTAGTAATGCTTGCATTAGTTATGTAATGCTTGCATTATTGCTTATACATTGTTTGGTTTGATGTATTGAAAATAACAAGCCTTGTATAAAGACTATTAAAAAAAATTTGTTTACAAAAATACCCCCACATTCTTTTACAAAAACAATAATAATAATAATAATAATAATAATAATTATTATTATTATTATAATTATAATTATTATAATTATAATTATTATTATTATTATTATTATTATTATAATTATTATTATTATTATTATTATTATTATTATTATTAGAGGGTAGTTTTGTCATTAGTTAATCTAATGCATGCATTAAAACCATTGCATTGCTAATACCTAGAAATCCATGGTATTAGCAATACACACCTTAATACACAATAGAGTGTATAACTAATGCTTGCATTAGTTATACATAGGTTGGAAAAGGGTACCAAACAAGGTACTAGTAATACACAATGCTAATGCATGCGTTATTTTTCCTAATACACTCTACCAAACGACCCCTTAATATATACTCATTTAGTCATTTTCTTTTATAAAAAAATATGTTTCATTTAGGAACCAAAGAAAATAATTTTCATATATCCCCCCCCCCCCCCTCCAATTACAGGAGGATCAACAATATCCCGCTCACTCTCTATGTAATTCAAACTTTCCATATACTGGATGGTGGAGTGGTGGAGGAACTCGAATAAATTTTTAAGGTCAAGTAGTTGAAATGTGTGGTATTTAGGAGAGAATTGTAAACAAATAACTGCTGTTTGGTGGTTGTTATGATTACTATGCTTATTGTGGTTTTCATTTCTAAATGGCAGGGCCCTTCATGAAAACGAAGAAAGAGCCAAGTACGAATTGACACGAAACCAGTTCTTCCTCATTGCCTTTTTATGTAGCTTTGCTTACTATGTCTTTCCAGGTTACCTTTTCCCGATGCTAAGTTCCCTTTCATGGCTATGCTGGATATTCCCAGCTTCTGTCCTTGCCCAACAGTTGGGTTCTGGGCTTCATGGTCTTGGAATGGGTGCCATTGGACTCGATTGGTCTAGTATATCCTCCTATCTGGGAAGCCCACTAGCTAGTCCATGGTTCGCCACTGCAAACATTGCTGCTGGATATTTTCTCATTATGTATGTTGTTACACCTATTATGTACTGGTCCAATGTGTACAAAGCCAAAACCTTTCCAATATTCTCAGACGGCCTCTTCACATCAGATGGTCAAACATACAATATTTCAGCCATTGTCGATCAAAATTTCCATATTGATTTCAATGCATATGAACACGAGGGCCCTCTCTACCTCAGCACTTTCTTTTCAATGACTTACGCATTTAGCTTTGCTTGCCTCAGTGCCACAGTCGTTCATGTCTTCCTCTTCCATGGACGGTAAGTTGCAATCTTGGACAATTGATAATACTTACAGGTTTGATGCCTATTTATGTGCATCTCTGTATCTGTATCTCTTTGTCTATATACTATTCTATATATCTGAGTCTCTTATTCTGAATTTCTACAATGCTTTAATGTGTTTTTGGTGCAACTTGCTTCACATCTAACCTGTCACTAAAGATTAAAAGGATCCATTTTTGTAATGTTACAGGAATAGCTTAGTATGTAGGTTGTTTTACACTAAACAACTGAAATGGTTACAAATTTCCCCAAAGATAATATTCGCGATATAGTGATTCTATGGTAAAACATTTAAATCAGAAAGAATCAGAGAGGGTCAAATAATTTATAAGTGACATACCAATCAAAAAGTGATTTGCAAGCGATCTGTGTGCTTTCTACTGGAAAAAGACTTTGTCCAAGGCAAAAGTTGAGTTGATAGGTATAAATGTTAGACCACGTGATATTCAAAGACTCTTGCTGATGGATTGAATTGTGTAAGTATGATAAGTTTCACCATTTCTGTAGATCTGATACTCCATGCAAATCTTACCAGCACTATGGTGTCACATTAAAAGTGAAGTGGGTCACCAGAAAGAAGTGAAAACTAATAGGGGTAGGAAAAAAAAAGATAAGTGCTATTAGGATACACTAGTAAAACAAAAACTTGCTAAAAATAGCTTTCAACACATGAATGCTCAGAAATTTGTAATAGGTCTTTTTATGTGATTAGAAAAAGAGATTCCCGGAATTCTTTACTAAATGATTTCTTTCTATCCGCATCTTTTTGAGGGAAGTACAAAGGCAAAAACTTCTCCGTGTTCCTAATGTGGAGAAAACAAAGATTAGTGGAACTTTGCGTTGTTATACTATCTGTGTTCCTTATTTGAGTATTGAGCTAGTTTTATCTTTAGTGCACGTGGCAGCAAATAATCAACTCATTGGCTTTTGATATGTAGAGACCTGTGGCAGCTGAGCAAGTCCGCTTTCCAAGAGAAGAAAATGGATATTCACACGAAGCTCATGAGAAAATACAAGCAAGTTCCTGAATGGTGGTTCTTAAGCATTCTTCTTGTAAATATTGCCGCTACTGTGTTTATATGTGAATATTACAAAACACAGCTCCAATTACCATGGTGGGGCGTCTTGCTGGCATGCGGTCTTGCTTTCTTTTTCACCCTTCCGGTTGGAGTTATCACTGCCACCACAAACCAAGTAATGTGCTATATTCTGTTTCACAGCTTTGCAATCATCCATAGCTTTTGTTGATCGCATCCTACCCAATGGTTTATTCCATTAGGAATACTGATATGTTGCCATACATTAGCTGAGACTAGTACTTACGTAAGTAATAAAACTGGCATATTTTTTCAGGTATTACCTTGGTATCTGTCTTCTGCATTCTAGTTGATTTTGTATTTTGCATACTCTAGATGAGAGCATCGGAATTTTGCATAATGCAGTCTTAGATGAGGATATATAAGCTATCTTCTATTCAAACGCCACACACAATTCTTTGTTGTTCTAACATTCCATTGTCTCTTTGCGCAGACTCCTGGGTTGAATGTGATAACGGAGTACATAATTGGCTACTTGTACCCCGGTTATCCAGTAGCTAACATGTGCTTTAAGGTGTACGGCTACATCAGCATGAAGCAGGGATTAACCTTTTTACAAGACTTAAAGCTTGGGCATTACATGAAGATTCCTCCTAGAGCAATGTTTATGGCTCAGGTTGGCTTTTCTTTTCCTTCTGCATCTGTAAATCTATACATGTTGGCACGTGAAACTATCTCGTTGCCTAGTTGAATGAATAGTCCTACAAGCTGTAATCTTTGTGCTTTGAACTCTTTAATCAGGTTGCTGGAACGTTGATATCAGCTTTAGTGCATCTCGGAACAGCATGGTGGCTCATAGACACTGTCCCGGATATTTGTGACAGGGCTTTGATTCCTCCTGGAAGCCCTTGGACCTGCCCAGGCGATCATGTATTTTATGATGCCTCAGTCATCTGGGGTTTGATTGGGCCGCAAAGAATTTTTGGAAACCTTGGCCATTACTCCGCCCTTAACTGGGCTTTCTTATTTGGAGCTATAGCTCCTGTCATTGTTTGGATCGCGCACAAGACTTTCCCTAGCCAGCAGTGGATCAGGTTAATCACAGTGCCTGTACTATTAGCTGGGATAATGAATATGCCACCAGCTACTTCTGTCAACTACAACAGTTGGATCATCATAGCTTTTCTCTCTGGATTTGTTGTTTATAGATACAATCAGAAATTATGGAGTCGTCACAATTATGTTTTATCTGGTGCGTTAGATGCTGGATTAGCATTCATGGGGGTGTTGTTGTATTTATGCTTGGGAATGGAGCATGTTAGGCTTAACTGGTGGGGAAGTGATGCAGATCGATGCCCACTGGCTAAATGTCCAACTGCTGAAGGGATTGTGGTTAAAGGATGCCCAGTTTTTTAAGTGATCATTGAAATGATATGTCTGGAATTATTCTTTTGGTGTATATGTTTGTAAATGGATGTAGATTAGTAGTCCTTGCATTTTTATTTTTTTTTGAAATTCATTATTGTGAGGATTGTGCAACTTTTCATCCTTTCATTTTCATTACAAAATTGATGGAGATGGTATTATTTGACTATTACAGACCTCAGATTGCTTCGCGTTTTTTCTCACTGTTACAATTATTAACCTTTTTAAAGAGGAATTCCAAATAAGCGCAAGTCATCACCTCGTGTTGACTACATTCATGTCCTTTGTATGCATTGTCCATTTAGACGCAAAAGTGACTTCATTTCCATGAAGGTAATCCCAAAACTTTTGGTTATAGATGGAGGTAAACTTGCAATTCTATCACAATCTATGGTGGTTATAATAGTTACGTGTATTTGCACTACGGTTATCTCATAATGTAAAATTTCTTTATATATTAAAAAAATTAAACTGAATTTTAAATCAGTGAGTGCTAGATACAGATTAAACTACGTCGTATTGGTACTCATATACATCACGATTCAGGCACACTCCCTATTAACACAAAAGTGAAAAGTGAGCTCAAGAAAGTGCAAAAATGGAAGCAAATAGCGGAAAATCAACAACAAATGCATCGTCTCTTCGATGGAAAATCCTTCGTCGTAATCTTATTTGTCACTCTTCATCCAATTCAGGTCTAATTTTTTTTTTCACGTACATTCAAACATATATCCGTCTACACACACATGCCCACATAATCAGTTTTTTGAGATTTTTGAACATATGGATTGAATTGTTGTGTCTAAGAAGATAAATCTGAAATGGGTATTCAGTGAATATCAAGGAAACAAACCCATTGGTTCTGTTAAGTAGCTTTACCTTCGGGGTTGAGGTTTTTTTTGCAGATATAGGCATTGTTAAGTATTTTTCTGTTACAAAAAAGACTATTTTTTTTTGCTCAATTGATTTTCTGGGTTTGAATAATTTGGATTGAATTGTTGTGTTTCAGAAGATAAATCTGAAATGGATATTCAGAGAATATCTAGAAAGGCAACTCATGGGTTCAATTTGATACCATTTCATCTGATGAAAGACTGTGTTGAAGAAAATGTGAATCCGATGGATAGCTCGCGGAATGCTACGTTATGCTATACATTGCCAGTTTCTAATGCTTCCCAACTTATTCTACAGTGAGTTTCCATTATGCCTAAGTTGATTTTCCTCTTCTTTTTTGAGTATGGTAAGATAAAGTTCATTTTCCTCTTTTTCACTTCACTTATGGGCTGTGGCGGAGCTAGGTTTTTCACTATGTAGGTTCAAGATATAATAAAAATAGAACACAAAGAAACAGGGGATTCAACATCTACTTATATGTGTATAAAAATGATTTCAACCATATATATAAAATGTAATATTTTATATTTCATCGAATGGGGTTCGGATGAACCCCTTCAACCATCTTGGCTCCACCCCTGCTTATGGGTGGATGTAGTATGAGGGTAGTGGGTGGGCATCCATTACCTTGACTTGAATCACACAGAGGCACCCACATGTTGTCACACTATAAAAGTCTGTGCAGCAGTGATCAAATTCTTACCTTTGTTGAGTCCTTACATGGTATATGGTCTTGGGTAATACTCACTCGTCATGGCACCCCAAGGTCTGGCCTAGTGATCAATGAAGTGGATTGAGAACTATGAGGCCTCAACTTCAAATTCAAGCGGAGACAAAAAAACACTAGGTGGTTTCTTTCCATTTGTCCAACATTTGGTGGACAAAGTTACTAGATATCGATGTTGGTAGGAGGTAGCATGCACCTCGAGAAAATGATTATCCATGAAAAAAAGAAAAACTCACACTTTGTGACCAGTTAAGTCTCATATCGGCAGTGGGATGGAGGATTTGGTCTTCCTATTTGATTTCGACCAATCCTCACCTCATGAGGTAACTTTTGAGGTTGGGTTAGTCCCAATTTGACATCCTTATTTTGATTGATGGATTTGCTTAGTGTTTCCCCTATTCTTTATTTTCAATTACTCCTTCCGTTTCAATTTGTTTGTTTGGGTTTGACTTGACATGGAATTTAAGGAAGAAAAGAAGACTTTTAAATCTTGTGGCCGTAAACTAAATGTATGTAGAATGTGCCAAAATGCTCTTTAATCCTGTGGTCTTAAACATGTCGCGTGAAAAGTTAAAACTAGTGAACCGCCAAAAAAAGAGACGGTCTTTTTAAAATGGACTAAAAAGGAAAGTAAGACAAACAAATGAAATGGAGGGAGTTCTTTTTTTTTTTTGTAATTCCCCCCTGCATTGCTTGGTATTTTCATCTTTTGGCCCTGGATAGTAGGAATTTAACGGAATATGGGGAATAATTCTTTCGTCAGAATGAACTGGTTGATGGTGTTCCCTGATCATCTCTAATGGCTTGACTTTAATGCAGTCAGAGAGCAGATGATATGGCACATCTTAATGACTTTGAGGTCTGCAATAGATATGATATTGACAACACTGGACTTGTTTGTAAGTAATTTTTGCATTCTTCCATTTTTTTTTTCTTTCGTGGAAAAGTATGTATATCTTTCCTTACCAAGAAAAGTCTGTACTTTGTCCTGGTTCTGCTCTAAAATGAGCTGCTTTATCCTTAACCCCTTCATCTGATTATTTCTTGATTCCTCTCCATTAAGCACCAAAGAAATAAAAGTTGATGTCTATCTATCAGACTCACAGACCAGTTTAGTATAATGTTGTTAATTGAGTTGCATTGAGGGTGTGGCTTAGTGGTCAATTAAGTAAGTGCAAACTTTGGAGGTCTGCCTAAGCCTTTGTGGGCAGTAGGTTGTTGAAATTCCTAACAGGAGAAACAACAGTAGGTGATTTCTTCCCATCTGCCTAAGCCTTCGTGGGCAGACTTACCCGGTACTTGTGTTGGTGGGAGCTAGTTGGTACCCGTGAATTAGTCGAGGTGCGTGCAAGATTCCCTGAGCACCGCCATTATCTGAAAAATAATTTCTAAGTTGAATATGGAAATTGTTGCATCTTATTTTCTTAGATAGCTACATGAATATCCTTGTAGTCAGTGTTGGACGGGTATTTATTGCCTGCGTGAATTGTAGCGATGTCAAACTCACTGCTTAGCTAAAGTAAACCACAGTCCAAATGCTGACTGGTATTTTTGACGTTGAGAATCGAAAAAGCATTTGGTGAGGGATTACACTGTAAGTGAGGACCTTTTTTGTAGGAGAACATGTTTTGGTCAATGTAGGTACCTTTTCTCCATTAACAGAAGAAATCTGAATATAAATGTGAAATGAAGAAACAATAAATACTAAAATTGTTATTGAAGTTTTTTGTTTGAGTTCACTAAGTGTAGAGTTAACTTTTCTAATATACCCCACACTCTTGGCTTCTGTTTTAGGTGCCATCTGAACATAACATTCTTTCCAGAAGTTCAGACAGAAAGATCCTATATATTATAGGAAATGCTATTTCTTATTGCTTACCCCTTTGAATCCCCCAGTGAATTGAAGAAGAGGAAATTGGAGTTGGCTAGTTTTTGAATTGAATATGATGAGACTGAAAATAGTATACCTTTTCTCAAAAAATAGATGTTATTTGCAACTATAGAAGATAAAAGACAAAAGCAAACATTGTGATAATAAGCAATCTTCTGAAAACTAAGAACCTCATCACTTTACATACTTCTACATGGCGATGAAGTATTCCATCGACTGCAATTTGATGCTGTGAGCTACTTAGTCATGGCTATATATTGTCCCTTTTGATGATTGGAATTGTCCTCTTGTTAATAGCATAGATTAAGATTTTTTAACTCCGGTCTAAAAGACTAATTTCTTCTGTTCTGGAATAAAGTTTTTTCGTGAACAACTGGATCTTCACGGAGTATTTAGGCTCAAGTCATCTACGGCCCCTTAAGGTTGTCCGCATAATTCACTTAGACACTTCAACTAAGACCTGTACCTATTGAACACCTCTACCGTTCCGAATTTGAACCGTATAAACATATTTTGCCTACATGGCATATTGTTTGTGATTCACTTCAGACAGGCGCGTGAAGGTATTTAATTAGGCATTTTTGTGGAAAATAATACTCTTTCTTCTTCCTCACCTCTTTTCCATCCGTTCCTCATCACACCAGTTTGCCGCTGCCGGCCGTAGATCCTTCTTCTTTCTTTTTTTTCCTCTGGACATTTCCATTCTTTTACCTCCATCATTGCTCCTTTTTTTTTTTTTGCCCCATTGTCCTTCATATTACTTGCCCACCGCCATGGCCGCCATCATAACCGTCATTTTCATCATTTTAATTTGTAGAGGATTGAAGCTTGAAATTTGTTTCTTTAAATCAATATATTTTTTATGTAAATGTAAGCAGTTATAAATCTGACAATTTTTTTTGATGTAACTCCTTTTTTTCTGACAATTTAATAAGAACTTATTTATTTTCCGATAGAATTCGTCTTTCTTGTACCAAAAATGGAACGAAGAAGAAAGTTACAATTTGCTTTGATTATTTAAGAGATCGACGAGAAATAACGTGTTGGAGAACTTGATGGCCAATTCCTCCACAACCCATCAAAAATAGCCATAAATTTTTCAATCCTTCTGCTTTTTCTTTTGATTCTCTATTGCAGATCGGAAGTTCCAAAAATGTTTAAAAACAATATAACATGGGTGGGTTGTCGTGTTATGGGTAGCACCTCCGAGGAAAAGCTGGGTTACGTTTTGGGTTCAGATGGGATAGCAGGGGTGGGGTTACAACCTTTTTTCTTTTTCTTTTATTTTGCAACTTAAAAATAAATCCCTTTTCATTTACTTTATAATACTTTTTTAATAATCTTTTGGACTAAAAAATAACAGATGTCGTTATTTAATTCGTTGAAATGCCATGTCATCGCGTGTGTATTTCACACACTCTATATTTTTAGCTTATTGTCAAATAAATGTTTAAATGGTTCAAATTCAAAGCAGTAGAGGTGTTCAACAGGTACAAATCTAAGTTCAGGTGTCTA